GTAAGTTAGTGTAAATTTATTATACTTTTATTATATATATTATACTGAAGCTATAAATTTAGTATGTGTACAAGTAAATATTGTAAAACTAAAATACTTGTATTTTAGTTTTACATTATATTTTTACTTTAACTTGTCAATAAAAATACATATAATATGTAAAACTTAAAAATATTTAAATTAGGGGTGCACCAATGCCTACTTTTGGCTGATGCCAATGGGTACAGGCCGATGCCGATGCATCGGGGTCAGCCCTGAAATCAGATATATGAAGGAGATATGCACTTGAATAGAAATGCCACATTCCATTCATGTGACAATGAAAGCAACATTTTGAAATTGTTTCTGTTGAACTTTTTTTTTGTTTTCTTGATAATTAGAGCAATTAAAAATAAATAAAAATAAAATATAAATATTTACTTACATCATTCTGTTCGAATTAGGACGATTTTGTTTTTATAAAGAATGAATGGAAGATTTTGATGTCTTTGCTTCTAATTATTAGCAAGTTTCAAGCAAATATTTTTACGAAATTAAATTGTAATGCTTTTAATTTAATAATAAACTTTTATTATTTAAATTTAATATAAATGTAATGAAACATCTTGATGGTAAAGAATAACAGAAAGAGTTTCAAAAAAACTTTGTTTAAAGCAATTTTCTCTTCTGTATAGTACTTCTTTCTATACTAGAGGAAATATTTATGAATCTAGCTTTTGTGCATGCAAATTGAAAATGTTTAAATTAGGGAAAAATAAAAGAAGATTCACAAAAATTTTTTAGTTTAGTGGTTGCATATATGCCAATATAATAACTTATTATTAATAAGTTAGGCTTATACATTGCATTAATGTTTATGGCGTAATTCTATGTTTGGATATAATATAGAAACACAGAAATAAAAACAAAAAAATAAAAAATTTTTCAAAATAATCAGCATCAGCCAATGGTTATCAAGGTTGATCCCGATACCGATGCATTGTTGCACCCCTAATTCAAATATTTAAGCTTTATTTTATACATATATTTATAAGTATATGCTATCAAGTATTTTCACTTTTACATCATTTATATTTTTTATCTCATCACTTAATTAACTGAAATTTCTTACACACTGCATAGTTGACAGTTAAATAATTATCTCTCCATAGTCTGATAACTGAAAGATTAGAGAAAATTACTTGAAAAATAGAATGATTCATTGACAGAAGAAATTTAATATAGAAAATGTTATATTAAAAAAAATCTTGGATTTGAAAAAAATTCTAAAATTATTTATCTTATTCCAGTATTATCTTATTCCTGATATTTCCGGAATTCCGGATGTTTTTTTTCACCTTTTAGTTTTTCCGGATATCCAAAATATTTTCCATACATACATGTTTAAGCATATATTTTTGTAATATATTTGTTTTTTAAGCTTTTTGACTCACCACATATAGAAAAAATATAAAAAGTTTGAAAAAAACAAAAAAAAAAACAACTTAGCTAAAAGTAAAATTAAAGGGAAAATAAGGGAAAACATATTCCGGATTTTTTCCGGATATTTTATCCAAATAATTTTCCGGATTTTAAAAATATGACCTGGATAATCTATGTAAAATTAATTAAACAAACCTTTTTGGTTCTGAATTACACAAACAATTTAAAAATTCCATTTGATTTAGAATCAAAAATAACGAAGATAAAGAGAATAGATAATTAACAAATGAAAAAATAACACAAATATTAAGAACAACATGTCTAAATTTGAATGATAATATTTCTGATCGACAAAACCTTATGAATTATTAAGCATTAATACAATACTAAAAAGTCCCCACCTGTAATAATAATATATTCTTTATTTTTTTTCAACAAGTTATAATACCAGAAAGTAATGATCTTAGTCTCACTAGAGATCTTTATTTACCATTTCCTTATGAATTGCTTGAGTGCTATTCATATAACATAAAACTTATGTGTTATGCATTGCTTGAGTGTTATTCATATAACATAAAACTTATGTGTTATGCATTGCTTGAGTGTTATTCATATAACATAAAACTTATGTGTTATGCATTGCTTGAGTGTTATTCATATAACATAAAACTTATGTGTTATGCATTGCTTGAGTGTTATTCATATAACATAAAACTTATGTGTTATGCATTGCTTGAGTGTTATTCATATAACATAAAACTTATGTGTTATGCATTGCTTGAGTGTTATTCATATAACATAAAACTTATGTGTTATGCATTGCTTGAGTGTTATTCATATAACATAAAACTTATGTGTTATGCATTGCTTGAGTGTTATTCATATAACATAAAACTTATGTGTTATGCATTGCTTGAGTGTTATTCATATAACATAAAACTTATGTGTTATGCATTGCTTGAGTGTTATTCATATAACATAAAACTTATGTGTTATGCATTGCTTGAGTGTTATATGCTCATATAACATAAAAAAGTGGGTATATTAAAAGGTGGTTTGATGTTATATTTTGGCTACTATAATATTGAAGCTTTAGTTTTGTTGTCTATTTATTTTTTTTTTTAACTTTGAACTTTGAAACTTTATTCTGTTCTTTTACTGAAGCCATCTTTATTTTATTTGATATGGGGGAAAAATTTAATTACAAAAAAAAATCCGGGTCATATTTTGAAAATGTGAAATATATTTAGCGTAAAATATCTGTAATATATTTTACCTTGCATTCGTTTTAATTTTGCATTGAGCTAATTAGTTTATTCGAAACTTTTTTTAATTTTTGTATAGGTAATGACGGAAAAGGTTAAAAGATATATCTTAAAAAATATTTGAACTTTTTAAAGAAAAAAACAAAAAAAAAAGTCTTAAGTTTATATATCCATAAATCTAATTTATTTAATTTATATAAAATATATTAAGTTAAATATGTAACAAAAATAAAATATATGCATCTTTGTCACAAATTTCAACAACAACAAAAAAATACAACTAAAGCACAATATTTGTCAACATTAGTTCATCTTAGTAAACAATTAATGTTGAAGACACAATTTCTGCTATAAACTTTTCAAAATCAGTTATTACAATTGGCATCTTTAAGATGGGGGAACCAAGCACAGCTTGTTGTAAAGAAAACCATATTATAATAACTTAAAATGTGTATAAAATGTGATATGATTAGATTGACAAAAATTACTTTATCATAATATTATTTTTGCAATGGGATCGATCTTTAATATAAAGCAAACTATAAAATTTCATACAAAAATCAAATTATTAAAAAACATTAAAGATTTAGTGATTTAAGCAAATTTAATGATGAAACTAACTTTAATTATTTTTATCAACACAAGTTTTTATAGCAATAATATGACTTCAATTATGCAAAGAAGTAACACATAGTATAAGGTGTTTGTAAGTTCACATTAAATTACACTATATATTACCAGAAATATGTGTTTTCTAAATAATTATGAGAGGCTAGACAACAAAACCAAGATAAACAACAGTAAAATCTCTTAAGACTAAATGCTATCACAATTTTACTCAATACACTGCTTGGCTGGGAAGGTTGATAATCTTGCTCTTAAATATAGAATATTAGTTATAAAAATGAAAAAATAGAATGTTAGTTAGAAAAAACACCTGGCTAGCATAACAGTTTAGCTCTAAACTCATTGCAAGTCACTTGCATGGCTAGTTTAAAAGCCTCGCTCTATACGCACTGCTAGTCACAACGCTTGCTTAGCTAGTTTAAAAGTCTTGCTCTACACGCATTGCTAGTCACAATGCTTGCTTGACTAGTTTTACAGCTTAGCTCTAGCTCTATACAGTTGGTTATGGATTATAAAAATATATACTTTTTTAAAATCAGTTATAACATCAGGCAAAGAAACAGAAATTGGATTTCCAGTAAAAAAAATTGTTGTTTAATGGCAAAACAATAATCATTAATAGCCATTCAAGATAACTTTTTTATAATTTAAATATTTAATTATAATTGATGTCATTGTATAGAGCTTGGATTGACTTAAAAAATGAGGGGTCATTTGGCCTTTGAAGTCAAGCAGATCAAAAGTTATTGAACTTTTTGTAGTGGAAAAATTGATGATTTTTTGACAAAAGGTATAGGGCTTAAGTATGGAAAATTTTCTGTGTTATGGCACCGAAAATGAGAGTATTATTGACTTTTGAATAACTTTTGAACCGTTAATACATTTGGCTTGAAATTTTCTACAGTGACCCACCAACTATAAAAAAATAAAATTCCAAATTTTTTTTTTGTTAAATCTGTAAGGAATGACCAGAATTGTTTATTTTACAGATTGACGGTTTTTACTAATTTATATTTTTTGGGGGTCATACTGACTTTTGAATAACTTTTGAACTGTTAATACATTTGACGTGAAATTTTCCATAGTGACCCACCAACTATAAGAAAATAAAAAACCAAAATTTAAAAAAAAAAATCATCTATTTTACAGCGAATCATCTATTTTACAGCCTGAAGGTTTTTAAATTATTTTCTTATTTTTGGAAAACAAAATTTGGAGTCATTTTATAATAATACTATGTAAATATGCTTAAAGGAATAATAGAATCCAAAATATTGTTTTGAAAACTATTGCATAATTTACAAACTGACCAGTGAAATAATCGCATAAATTACAGTCAGTAAAAATGCTGAAAATGGGCTGTACAAACAAACTGAAATTATCAATTTTAAACAGTTCGATATTTTTTAAAAATGTGTGTTATTTTTGAACCGTTATTACATTTAACTTGAAATTTTAAACAGTGATCCAGTTTTTATTAAATCTGTTAAGATTATCAAGAATCGTTTATTTTACAGACTGAAGGCTTTCTACTTATTTAATTGTGCTATGAGGAATAAAATTAGGGTTACACTTTGCAAATAGGCATAAAGGAATCATGGAATCTGAAAAATATATAATTTTGAAATTATTGCAAAATTTACAGGCTGGTCTGTAAATTACTGCATAAAGTTTGTACAATTGAGG